CCCCCACGGCTGAAAGAGCGATCATGTTTGGTGTGACGGGGATTCGAACCCGCGACCCTCAGATTGCGAGTCGAGCGCCCTAACCACCTGGCCATGCCGGGCTCCGTTTTCTGATCAGATGTTAATACTGAATGTTGTAACAGGGAAAATAACACGACGTATTTAGTGAAGCCAGGCCGTGATAAACAGTATAAAAACAAGATGATAATTAAATTATAACATTATATTATATAAACAACCGTCACAGACCAATTATATATCTTTGGTTTTAATTAACACAATAATCTGTATTTTCTATGCATCCTCTAACTTTTGAAACTTTAATTAATTAAATCATATTTTAGTTATAATAAAAGAAATTGATACACTTTACACGTACTTCCTTTACGTCTATTCCAACTGTTGAGAAGATGTTTGTTTCTATAGTTCCAGGACTGTAAAATATAAATAAGAGCATTAATATGTCAAATATTGTTTACAAAATTTAAATTGTGATTTATAAATGCGGTAAGAGATAAATGTGAAGTCTTGTGTGTGGCCGCGAACCATTAAACCTCAGGTCAGTGATGGCAAGTATAAGAGGTTTGAGAAGGCTTAGCTTTCCCAAATAGGTGAAAAAAGATATATCTTTCCTGACTGCCCAAAGAGCACCTGTTGTGGATAAACAAATAGCCTCCCAAAATACAATGTCCCTTATGGAGCATAATTTTCTACAACTCAAAATATTATCAACTACAAGCAAAAATACCCGTCCCCAGTGATGGCAAAAGTTTAAGTTAATCTATCAATTTAGATTATTTCATGGACTTTAAAAAGGTTGATTGCGTTACAGTGTTGGTTTCACTCAGAGCCAAAGCTCTTAGCTACTTATACCATCCACCACGAAAAGTAATTGTTTAAGATTTTATTCATGTTAAGAGTCACTCAACTATAACATACGGTAAATCTACGTTTTTATTGTTTAAGTTACGTCACATTTTCAAATGTAAATCATAGTGTGATTAATTTCTAACAATTTAGTGTAGAATATCCTGCTTGTGAAATAAAATTTGACATCAACATTATTCATGCCTGTTCTCCCGCCATTTCAAAAGTGAATATTGAGGATTTCTTGCGTGCGCAGCTTTTCAAACGGGAGACAGACAAACGCTGGGACAGACACCACGGTTCGCAATTTATATAAAATATGTGACAGAATAGGCTACCGTAACAAAATAATTGCCACCTGTACCTCAGATTCACAGTCCGGTTTTAAATCAAACAAATTACAAATTAACATATATCCGAAAGGCTTTTATAAATATAGTTTATACACAAATAAAAATACACGTACTTTACTGAATTCACTCTGACTTGTTTGGGAGCAAGATCTGGAAAAAGACAATTCAACGCGTGATAAATATCTATTTTTCTTGTTTACGTTACACTGCTTTTCAAATAAACAATGTTACTAGCTTTTTTAAAATTTTTTATATGAAACCATTATCTAAAATTAAATTTCTTTCTCGGACTAACGAAAAAAGCATTAGGAGTGCGTAATTATATTAACACAAAACAAAGGTCAAAGGTTAATAAATCGTGATTATTTTAAAGAATATTCACTCTTATTTTAGTAAATAATAATAATTAACATATCAATAAGTAAATAATAATTAATAGGTAATGTTTATAGTTATTATACAGTGTATTGATATTACTTAGTCAAGTAAACTTTATTTAGAGTAATCTGTTACACTTGTA